CAATCAACATTAACTCCAACGGTCCTTTTCAGGACCACAAAAATATTTAATTAAAGTCGATAATTGATCTTAAAATTACTAACATACACTTCACAAATAAATGAACATTTTAGAAATGAATAAAATAATACTGATTTTCGAGCATATATATTTTGAATAATCAGAAAAAATAAGTGAATATAACTAACTGATAATAATATACGTATAAGGTTCCAATAAATACACAAATGCCATGTTTCACCTAAAGTATGTAACAAAAAATTATAAAAATATTTCATTTATGTGTTAAAAATACTATATATAATTAAGTTTTAAATATATTCACTGATCTTTGGCATAAATTAAATTTTAAATCTTTTGAACTTTCCCTTTCAGGCATTTAGTTCTTCTATTAACTGGCATATTCTATACTCTACTGTATACCATACTTAACAATAGAAACTAGAATATGAAAAATATTGCAGTATGAATTACTCACTTCAACTTTTGCATCATTTTAGCACCTTTACTCCATTCTATTTGTTAGCCTGGACATTTATTTCTTTAACTCATTAAACTGTCAAAGTACTTTCTCGAGCTTGTATACGCTGCTTTCGTTCTCACATTTCCGTCGTCTTATATATACTATATTATATATATTAAATAGTCAATTATTATTCGCAGAAATTTTTAAAGCCATATACTTGGTACACTAAAGAAAATCTTGAGGAGATCTCAGTTATTAGATTGTGAAAGACTTCCGAGTGAAATCACATTAGAGAACGAAATTATGAGCGATTATATCTATTCACAAAAGTTTTGAACTCTTTAAGAATATACTCCGTGAAGCGAGTTACTATATTCTCGATTGAGCAACGAGTTGGGTCAGGAGAGTGATCCCTCTGAATGAACTGGAAAGTAAGCACAATGGAAAGATCTCGGTATGCAGAATATTGGGAGGCAGTATAGTTATGCTGATATTAACATTTCTGTATTATAATACCAAAATTTATATACTTTGGAATGTTCTTCACTTTTTATTAAAAATATTGTTATCATAAGTTGACAACAAGCAACAAAGCTAAAAAACTAATAACTTCAACAATAATTGCTATAAGTGTAAAGTTTATATATAGCGTTATATGCAGATCATCATCAAAAATTATAGTTACAAAGAAGAATGAGAGAATCAATTATCTTTATATATTCATTTTATCTGAGTATTATTAATTTGAATATGATGTTTAACTATCTCTTTTCTTTAATTAATTTTGGTCCTGAAAAGGACCGATGTTTATTAAATAGTATGAAGTTGCTTCTTAAGCACGTTCTCCACGAATACGTCTCGCCAATTGAATATCTTTTGGCATAATGGTTACGCGTTTAGCATGAATAGCGCATAAGTTAGTATCTTCAAAAAGCCCAACTAAGTATGCTTCGCTAGCTTCTTGGAGAGCCATTACAGCAGAACTCTGGAAACGTAAATCAGTTTTGAAATCCTGTGCAATTTCACGGACTAAACGCTGGAATGGCAGTTTGCGAATTAAGAGTTCTGTACTCTTTTGATAGCGACGAATTTCACGCAAAGCTACAGTTCCCGGACGATAACGATGTGGTTTTTTACACCGCCAGTTGCGGGTGCACTTTTGCGTGCGGCCTTAGTAGCCAATTGTTTACGTGGTGCCTTACCACCAGTCGATTTACGAGCAGTTTGCTTTGTACGAGCCATAATTAAACAAATTGTTAAATAAAATTTAATTTAACGAATAAATGTTGAGAGTGTAAATTTCAAAACAAACTCTTATGATCCATCTCAACTGTTCACATGTTCGAACAGTCATTGTTCATTATATCCTTAATATCCTTTACATTGTTTATTTCTACCCTCAATTATTTGAGTGCCATTTTTGAGTAATTTGTTGTGTTTAAGCATTGTCACTCATATCTTTTGTATTGTTCATTTTTTCTATAAATACTGTGCATATCTAGTGTGGAATTTATTTACTGTTTAAGTCTGAATAGACAAGTATTATCTGTACTAAAATTATAACCTCAAAATGACTGGTCGTGGTAAAGGTGGTAAAGGTTTGGGAAAAGGTGGTGCTAAGCGTCATCGCAAAGTTCTTCGTGATAACATCCAAGGTATCACGAAACCAGCTATTAGACGTTTGGCTCGCCGTGGTGGAGTTAAGCGTATTTCTGGTTTGATTTACGAAGAAACTCGTGGTGTATTGAAGGTATTTCTGGAAAATGTGATCCGTGATGCAGTTACATATACAGAACATGCCAAAAGGAAGACTGTTACAGCCATGGATGTTGTATATGCTTTGAAGAGACAAGGTCGCACCCTCTACGGTTTCGGAGGTTAAATAAATAATATTAGTTTAAAAATGCAATACTATTAACACTATATTGCCCAATGGTCCTTTTCAGGACCCGAATATTTTCATTTTTTGAGATAAATAATTCATTTGAACACATACTTGACTGTAATTTATACAAATATTTTTATCGACTTCAAATATTAAGATTTTAAGACAAAAATTAATTGAAGTTGAATGTAAGTAAGAAACTTTAGAAATTTTTCTTAGTTAGATTTTCAAGAAACATGTTTTAATGTAGGTATTCAAAATTATTCTTTTAATCAAACTAGTTTTAGACGTAGAAATATCTAAGAATTCACCAATTATTTATTAAATAGATATATCTCAATAAAAATAAATATAGAAGTAAATATAACAAAGTTGTATGTAATATTTCCTTATAATTATTTCTTTTATGTCTTCGTATTTAAATAACGGTTAATTTTTAGTTTCAATAATCATAATAATTATACAAATAATTGTTTAAAATTTTTTTTCTGTACTGTCATTCTCAATACGATTTAGCATGACAACATTTAGCATGAAACAACATTGAAAACCGATATCTCATAATGAAATACTATTTATACCCCAATCACTTAATTTTTAAATCTGTTCCTCAATTGAATTAAATTGTAAAAGAATTTAGAAACTAAGAGTATTTTATTGTTTTATGTATTCTCCTTCTGTTTAGAATATATCAGTTTCCTACCACCCAGGATATAAGTTTCAAAGAAAGAAAGACATTTTTTTAATAACACACATGCTTTTAAAATTATATACCATATCTTATTGATTCGTTTGGTGGCAGATAAAATTATGGCGGGAAAATTTCTACCTACTGGTATGTGAACTAAAATACTTAAGGCTTGCATTGTTATACCATTCATTTTTTTATTTAAAAAAAAAGTAACTGACAAAATTGTCAGTACAGTTCACACGCATACCAAGGACACTCAAGATCCATACATATACTTCCAAGCCGAATGAGCATGAGTGTGAGTGAAATTGAGTAAGAAACTATAAGCCGAAATGGAATGAAGATGGAACGTGAGTAATTTTCTTATTTGCATTTACGCGCCAAAATATATGAAATAAAATCTATATTTAAGATGAATTTAATAGAATTACATACAACCTTTTCTTTGTTAGTTATATTGTCATAAAGCGATTAAAAGAAGCAATGTGAATGTGAATGTTTTATAATTCTTTACTAAATCTGTTCAGTTTAGTAATATATCAGAAATATTGTTCTGAGATGAGTACTTATTACTTAATGCGATGAGTCTTGAATATAATTACATGTTTTTGTACCATATATAGAATTGTTTAATTGCATTTTATACTATATACAAACTATATATAACTAGTTAAAATAAATTAGGATACGTATATACCGAAAATAATGATTATAATGAATTGTTTATTTCAAACGTAAATGTGATATTAAAACATAATTAATCCACAAATTGCTCAAATAGAGCTAATGTTAAAATTAGAATGTTTTACACGTACGTGTAGGAAGTAACCGAATTAATACGTATGGAGTAGAATTGCTCTGATTGCCGGAAGATGAAGGTGCTTGATTCCAAATCATATTTCATTTGACATTATTTTGGAAATGGTTTCTGTAAACCAATTTTAACCATTTTTATGGGTTACGTTTTTCAAAGAAATATTTGTATAAATAATAATTGTTTGAAATGAAGTATGTTTTCTTTAATCAAATAAATTGATCGTCCTGAAAAGGACGGTTGTTGTTCGAAAATTTCGAAAGAAATAGTGTTGTAAGATATAGTTTAAGCCTTCTTTTCTGTTTTCTTAGGCAAAAGTACAGCTTGGATGTTTGGTAATACACCACCTTGTGCGATTGTAACACCAGACAACAATTTGTTTAATTCTTCATCATTACGGATGGCCAATTGTAAATGACGGGGTATGATTCTTGTCTTCTTATTATCGCGTGCTGCATTGCCAGCCAATTCAAGAACTTCAGCTGCCAAATATTCCATAACAGCAGCTAAGTAGACGGGAGCGCCGGCACCAACGCGTTCAGCATAATTGCCTTTTCGCAGCAATCGATGAATGCGACCAACTGGAAATTGTAATCCAGCACGATTTGAGCGAGACTTTGCCTTGCCCTTAACTTTACCTCCTTTACCACGACCAGACATGTTTCAATAGTATTTGATTGTTAAGTTGATCTACGTGATCTGAGTTGAAAACAGGCAAACACCAAGAATTTATACCTTTTTCATCCCCTAATGTGAAGAGAGAATTTCTTGAAATTTCTGTTTTAAAAATACATAAATTCTGAGTGAGGGTAGTTCAAATTTGAAAATTCATAAAATTGAAAATTTGAAACTTCACATTTGAAATCATGCCACCAAAAACTAGCGGAAAAGCGGTCAAGAAGGACGGAAAGGCTCAGAAGAATATAACTAAGAACGATAAGAAGAAGAAGCGCAGGAGGAAGGAAAGTTATGCTATTTACATTTATAAAGTATTGAAGCAAGTTCATCCTGATACTGGTATTTCATCCAAGGCTATGAGCATCATGAACAGCTTTGTGAATGATATATTCGAACGCATTGCTGCTGAAGCTTCACGTTTGGCCCACTATAACAAACGATCCACAATTACTAGTCGGGAAATTCAAACTGCAGTTCGCCTTTTACTTCCTGGTGAATTGGCTAAGCACGCAGTTAGTGAAGGTACTAAAGCTGTCACTAAGTATACCAGTTCCAAGTAAATTTTTTTGTATTGAACAATCAACATTAACTCCAACGGTCCTTTTCAGGACCACAAAAATATTTAATTAAAGTCGATAATTGATCTTAAAATTACTAACATACACTTCACAAATAAATGAACATTTTAGAAATGAATAAAATAATACTGATTTTCGAGCATATATATTTTGAATAATCAGAAAAAATAAGTGAATATAACTAACTGATAATAATATACGTATAAGGTTCCAATAAATACACAAATGCCATGTTTCACCTAAAGTATGTAACAAAAAATTATAAAAATATTTCATTTATGTGTTAAAAATACCATATATAATTAAGTTTTAAATATATTCACTGATCTTTGGCATAAATTAAATTTTAAATCTTTTGAACTTTCCCTTTCAGGCATTTAGTTCTTCTATTAACTGGCATATTCTAGACTCTACTGTATACCATACTTAACAATAGAAACTAGAATATGAAAAATATTGCAGTATGAATTACCCACTTCAACTTTTGCATTATTTTAGCACCTTTACTCCATTCTATTTGTTAGCCTGGACATTTATTTCTTTAACTCATTAAACTGTCAAAGTACTTTCTCGAGCTTGTATACGCTGCTTTCGTTCTCACATTTCCGTCGTCTTATATATACTATATTATAAATATTAAATAGTCAATTATTATTCGCAGAAATTTTTAAAGCCATATACTTGGTACACTAAAGAAAATCTTGAGGAGATCTCAGTTATTAAATTGTGAAAGACTTCCGAGTGAAATCACATTAGAGAACGTAGTAGGTATACGTAAATTATGATCGATTATATCTATTCACAAAAGTTTTGAACTCTTTAAGAATATACTCCGTGAAGCGAGTTACTATATTCTCGATTGAGCAACGAGTTGGGTCAGGAGAGTGATCCCTCTGAATGAACTGGAAAGTAAGCACAATGGGAAGATCTCGGTATGCAGAATATTGGGAGGCAGTATAGTTATGCTGATATTAACATTTCTGTATTATAATACCAAAATTTATATACTTTGGAATGTTCTTCACTTTTTATTAAAAGTATTGTTATCATAAGTTGATAATTTTAACAAGCAACAAAGCTAAAAAACTAATAACTTCAACAATAATTGCTATAAGTGTGAAGTTTATATATAGCGTTATATGCAGATCATCATCAAAAATTATAGTTACAAAGAAGAATGAGAGAATCAATTATCTTTATATATTCATTTTATCTGAGTATTATTAATTTGAATATGATGTTTAACTATCTCTTTTCTTTAATTAATTTTGGTCCTGAAAAGGACCGATGTTTATTAAATAGTATGAAGTTGCTTCTTAAGCACGTTCTCCACGAATACGTCTCGCCAATTGAATATCTTTTGGCATAATGGTTACGCGTTTAGCATGAATAGCGCATAAGTTAGTATCTTCAAAAAGCCCAACTAAGTATGCTTCGCTAGCTTCTTGGAGAGCCATTACAGCAGAACTCTGGAAACGTAAATCAGTTTTGAAATCCTGTGCAATTTCACGGACTAAACGCTGGAATGGCAGTTTGCGAATTAAGAGTTCTGTACTCTTTTGATAGCGACGAATTTCACGCAAAGCTACAGTTCCCGGACGATAACGATGTGGTTTTTTTACACCGCCAGTTGCGGGTGCACTTTTGCGTGCGGCCTTAGTAGCCAATTGTTTACGTGGTGCCTTACCACCAGTCGATTTACGAGCAGTTTGCTTTGTACGAGCCATAATTAAACAAATAATTAAATAAAATTTAATTTAACGAAAAAATGTTGAGAGTGTAAATTTCAAAACAAACGCTTATGACCCATCCCAACTGTTCACATGTTCGAACAGTCATTGTTCATTATATCCTTAATATCCTTTACATTGTTTATTTCTACCCTCAATTATTTGAGTGCCATTTTTGAGTAATTTGTTGTGTTTAAGCATTGTCACTCATATCTTTTGTATTGTTCATTTTTTCTATAAATACTGTGCATATCTAGTGTGGAATTTATTTACTGTTTAAGTCTGAATAGACAAGTATTATCTGCACTAAAATTATAAACTCAAAATGACTGGTCGTGGTAAAGGTGGTAAAGGTTTGGGAAAAGGTGGTGCTAAGCGTCATCGCAAAGTTCTTCGTGATAACATCCAAGGTATCACGAAACCAGCTATAAGACGTTTGGCTCGCCGTGGTGGAGTTAAGCGTATTTCTGGTTTGATTTACGAAGAAACTCGTGGTGTATTGAAGGTATTTCTGGAAAATGTGATCCGTGATGCAGTTACATATACAGAACATGCCAAAAGGAAGACTGTTACAGCCATGGATGTTGTATATGCTTTGAAGAGACAAGGTCGCACCCTCTACGGTTTCGGAGGTTAAATAAATAATATTAGTTTAAAAATGCAATACTATTAACACTATATTGCCCAATGGTCCTTTTCAGGACCCGAATATTTTCATTTTTTGAGATAAATAATTCATTTGAACACATACTTGACTGTAATTTATACAAATATTTTTATTGACTTCAAATATTAAGATTTTAAGACAAAAATTAATTGAAGTTGAATGTAAGTAAAAAACTTTAGAAATTTTTCTTAGTTAGGTTTTCAAGAAACATGTTTTAATGTAGGTATTCAAAATTATTCTTTTAATCAAACTAGTTTTAGACGTAGAAATATCTAAGAATTCACCAATTATTTATTAAATAGATATATCTCAATAAAAATAAATATAGAAGTAAATATAACAAAGTTGTATGTAATATTTCTTTATAATTATTTCTTTTATGTCTTCGTATTTAAATAACGGTTAATTTTTAGTTTCAATAATTATAATAATTATACAAATAATTGTTTAAAATTTTTTTTCTGTACTGTCATTCTCAATACGATTTAGCATGACAACATTTAGCATGAAACAACATTGAAAACCGATATTTCATAATGAAATACTATTTATACCCCAATCACTTAATATTTAAATGTGTTCCTCAACTGAATTAAATTGTAAAAAAATTTGGAAATTAAGAGTATTTTGCAAGCATAATTTGTATTCTCCTTCTGTTTAGAATATATCAGTTTCCTACCACCCAGAATATAAGTTTCAAAGAAAGAAAGACTTTTTTTTAATAACACACATGCTTTTAAAATTATATATCTTATTGATTCGTTTGGTAGCAGATAAAATTATGGCGGGAAAATTTCTACCTACTGGTGTGTGAACTAAAATACTTAAGGCTTGCATTGTTATACCATTCATTTTTTATTTAAAAAAAAAGTAACTGACAAAATTGCCGGTACAGTTCACACGCATACCAAGGACACTCAAGATCCATACATATACTTCCAAGCCGAATGAGCATGAGTGTGAGTGTGAGTGTGAGTGAAATTGAGTAAGAAACTATAAGCCGAAATGGAATGAAGATGGAACGTGAGTAATTTTCTTATTTGCATTTACGCGCCAAAATATATGAAATAAAATCTATATTTAAGATGAATTTAATAGAATTACATACAACCTTTTCTTTGTTAGTTATATTGTCATAAAGCGATTAAAAAAAGCAATGTGAATGTGAATGTTTTATAATTCTTTACTAAATCTGTTCAGTTTAGTAATATATCAGAAATATTGTTCTGAGATGAGTACTTATTACTTAATGCGATGAGTCTTAAATATAATTACATGTTTTTGTACCATATATAGAATTGTTTAATTGCATTTTATACTATATACAAACTATATATAACTA